GCGCCAACTGTGACGTCGCTCCTCCTGGTCGCTCCTCCTGGTTCCAAGCGTGCCGCTCCAACCCCTTGGTTGGATGATCACCAGCCTCGCCTTTCCCAACTCGCTTCCAATACCTGGTTACTGAAGCAACTGTACTGATCTCCGGTCTGTCTACCCACGTTGTGTTTAGATCTTAGACAGACGGGACCAGCAGGGATTGGGGCCGATACAAGTTGAGTCCGACGGGGGTGGCAAAACACAAGTAAAAGAAAAAAAAAAACTCACGAGACAAAAAAATTACTGATAAAAAAGGGTGACAACCTTTTATATCTAATGTCCGTTACATAAAGAAAAATTGTTCTCAATTCCCGACCCGCTCTGTGGACTATGGCACCAAGCTTCTATCACACAACCTAAAGATTTCGAATTGCCTACTCTTTAGAATTGTGTATGTCGGAGTGTGGTTTAGTTCGACACTGGGGCTAATTTCTATCGATCATTCGCAGTTGATTCTTCTCTTCGACTTGAGTTGTATTTCTTCTTCTTCGTCGACTAAGATAGAACTTCTCTTGTCTTCGACTTGGCTGCAACTTCTCTTGTCTTCGACTTGGCTGCAACTTCTCTTGTCTTCGACTTGGCTGCAACTTCTCTGCGGCCTTCGAGTAATCTTCTTCTTCGTCTGCTTGGGCTGGAAGTTCTCTTGTCTTCGACTTGGGCTGGAAGGATTTCTTGCCGCAACTCAGCCGCAACTCTCTGTCGTCCGAGGTGATCTCTTCTCGCTGCCGTCCGGGGCTGAACTTCTGTCTTCGACTTGGGCTGGAAGGATTTCTTGTCTGAGGATTCTCTTGCCCGCAAAGGGGCGAGTGAATCGGGCCTGATGCCCGCGTTCAGGCTCTATCCCTGCCCGCGGTCCAGCTGCAACTCCACTCCAACTGATTTCTGTCGACTGGGGTCCTGCTTTTATTGACGCCGCAGCAAACCGGGGTGGGTCTGTTGGCGTCAGGGGTTTCTCAATAATTCCAATAGCTGCCTTATTTCTGTCTTCTCATTATCGCTATTGTTTTCATCCCTACTTCCTCACAGTGCCCTTGGGGGAGGCGCACACCCATCTTTCCCGGTCCCTCGTATGTCAGGTGACCGCTCTCGACCAATGATTCCTGATCGAGCACTTCTTTCTCTTCTTTTCCGCAGATCACGTGACCGTTTCCGACCAATGGTTCTTGATCGAGCATCCTTTCTCTTCTTTCCGCATATCACGTGACCGCTTTCGGCTAATGAGATTGTGGTTGGGCGTGGTTTACATCGTTCTTGTTTTAAAAAAAACAAAATCTAATTTTGCCCTTTTGCACGTACGAAAAATGACAATCTTGGCTTTTTTTCTCACCTGGGCTCTGTCAAAACAGCCTGCCGCTAATTAGATGTGACTTCAGGGAAGAATATTGGCGCTATCTGTGAACTGAGACAATCGTTTTTTTTAACCTCTTGTTTTTGTCAGACCCGACAGTCAGAAAATCTTAATTATCTACATTGAAAATGTCCCCACTTTGTTATCATGGGTTTCCAATTCTTAATAGGTCAGAATCTGTATATAGTCCCACCGGTCACTCCCCTCAACCCAAAAGACACTTTTTTTCTCCGATTAAAAAAATTTCGTTTCTATTGTTCTAAAAAAGAATTTCCCTTTCTCCAATTTGACAATGAGTCTTTCCACGCAAAAGTAGGCTAGGTGCTTTGACCGATTTTCTTATCAATTGCCAAAACACTGTCATCAAGCCTGGTTCTTTTCTCCCTCTTAATGATTTTTTCATTTCAAATAACAATTCTCTATTGTCCTTTTTAAAATTCGGCCACACGCAGGCCAAGATATCTTTCTGACACTTATCTTCGCTTATGACTGGGTCATGCATCATCCAACTCTCTTTTCTTTTTTTTTTTTTTTCTTCCTCTTTCTTTTTTTTTTCTTTTTAGGATCGTCTAAGTACAATCTTAGTGAATTATTTTCAACTCAATTATTTTCCATTAAAAAAAAAATCAACAACCTGTTTAGTAAACCGAGTAAAAAAAAATTAAATCATATTTCTATGAATATTTCTAATAATGCAAGGTGCCACATACAAATCCCAATGTAACTTTAACTTTTGAAACAGTCTGAAAAGTCGAATGACCATCAGCTGGTACGTTGCGTTCTCCTTAATCTCGTCCACTGTCTGTTTAACAGCTATTTTAATTTAGATAAGATCCAGAAATCACAGTGAGACACATTTCCACCGTATGCAGCTGACAAGGTTGGGTGATGCGATCTTTTGTTAGCTGACCTGTATGGAAGTTGAAAAATGTACAGAATCAGTCATTTTGAATATGACGGTCGCACAGTATTCATGCACAGTTAATGGAGTTTCAATTCCGATTGAATAACCCCGAAGGAGAGCATCTCTCTACACATGCACGGTAAAATCTTGTTTTGTCAAATTACATGCAAACGGTATAACTAGTTCCGAATCTATTCCGAAATGGATGACTGATTTTCTTTATATGTCTTATATCTTTATATTCTACCAAACGAGTTAGTCTGTTAGATCTTCATTATATACCTATGATTCTTTATTAATCTTGAAAAATGTTTTATCACTTTTGTAAAAGAAAAAAAGAGAAGCTATTTCTTAATTAGGGATGATTTGCAATTAATCGCTTGCAATAACCTGTGTTTCTCTGTTACTTAGAAAACAGATTATTATTAATAAAGCTGACAATAAATAGTAAAATCTCCATTTTCTAACAGTTTCTATTAAATAAATTACAAATATCAGAGACTGGATTAAAGTTGGCTGGAAAGTATCGGACCTGAAGGGAGTTCCACAAGCGAGAAGTTTACTCTGAGCGCATCCTATTCTACGTCCCATTTCCTTATATCCTATACGAAATAGGTTATAACTGATCCCGAAACCGAGATATCGCTGTTTTTGTTCAAATACACGTCAGTGAATATTGGAAGAACTGCATTCTGTAGAATATATATTATTTTTCCTGTTTTGATATTCTTCACGCTGTCAATATTTTTTTTGAATTAGCAGTGCTTCAAAGCGCTCCTACACCACAACCTAAAACCCGTCATGTTTAATATTTGATAAGAAGAGCTTCAAAGAGAATTCTTGACGAGGCAATTTCCAGACACGTATACTTATGCCTTTGCAGATCAGGGTTACTTGAGGTCAGTTTTCAGTTGTTTCCATGGCTTCGAGGAACAGAAAAAAATTTTTTGAACATGTCTGAGACAATTTTATGGTTGTTAATGCAATCAAAGGTTCTTTGCACATTTCAGGCGTATTTGCCTTTTCATTACTGGCAACGTGTTTCTCCATATGTGATCAATATGTACTTTCACTCTGTTTTTTCTGTTCTTAAGCTGACGTCATTTTTACGAATTTATTACTTTTTGCAATCAACTATTAAAATAATGAACATTCTGATGCTAGTATAATTAGATACCAAACACCAAAGACAGTTGCTATTTTGGTAACATACTGGGTTTATCTTCATATATAACGCATATTGGCGTGTAACAAGGAATATTTAGAAATAAAAATTACGCTGAAAGTAAAATCATGCGGATAATTTTTCTAAAATATTTTAACATTGTTTTGTAATTAGAATTTAATCATATGTATATATATATATATATATATATATATATATATATATATATATATATATATATATATAATTCTGGGGTCATTACGTGAGGGACTAGTGTGTCAAATAGTTTTTTTTTTTAAAATTTTAGCAATATTTTGATTCATAGTCAGAACTTAATCATTTATAAATATATATATTTTTTATTCTGGGGTCATCAGGGACAAAATGAATTAAACATAATTTTTAAATATTTTAACTTTATTTTGATTTGTAATCATTTAATGTATTTCATTTTATGGTATTCATAATTCTAGTGTATAAAGAGAATTTTTCCAAAATATTTTAATATTATTTGATTGGCTATTATTAGTTATTCCTTTATAAGCACATATATTTAATTCTGGAGTAATCAGGCGACCAGTGTATGAAGACGATTTTCAAAATATATTTTAACATGATTTTGTTTTGTAACCAGAATCAATTATAAGCCGGCTCCTAAAATTTAATCATTTATAAGCCGGCTCCTGTAATTTAATCAATTATAAGCCGGCTCCTGTAATTTAATCATTTATAAGTCGGTTCCTGTTTCATCTGGGGGATTAGAATATCAAACATGTGTGATCATGTTTAAGTTTTTTACCGGTAACCCTACCACAGGAATCTAAAATATATTGATGCTTGTAGGCGATATTTTGGAAAATTAATTGGCCCGCCTATGGAGTAAAATAGGTAAATCTTAAAAAATGGTCGTACAAAATTGAGAGAAATATTAATTCTAGAACCATTCAATAAGCATTTACAAAATATGCCATTAATAATATGTCATTAATAATATGCCATTAATAATATGCCATTAATACTTCGAGATAAAAAAATAGAACAATTCAGAGAAGAAATCCCTTTGGTATTAAGAGGGGGTGGCGATCACCTTAGTCAGTCAGCGATCAGAACCAAGTCAAGGGTCAAAAGTGAACTTTTAGTTCATTATTTCAATAACGGTCAAGTTAGATTTCACGGCGTATACGAATTTAGATTTAACATTCAGGTCACATAAGGTCACGGATATAGCAGCCATATGGCAGAGTAGGTTTAAATTCAGATTTTTCATTCTCCTAGACTGCTTTCAAGAATTTAACCTACTATTTAATCCATGGCTAAGGGGGAAAGAGATGGGTTCATACATTCCTCGTGCATATTTGTGCGAAAGGAAATGCAACGAATTAGGCCAGAACTCGGTACATCAATCCGATTTTTGTTTGTTGTAAGCATTACACAACGTGAAATTCACCATTACGCTACGAGCACGTCGGCATTACGCCACGATCACTTCCTCATTACGTAACGAGCACTTCCCCATTAAGCCACAATGACTTCACCATTACGCAACAATGACTTCACCTTTATGCAACGATCACATCACCATTACGCACGATCATTTCATCATTACACCACAATCACTTCACCATTACGCCACGATCACGTCACCATTAAGCCACGAGCACTTCATCATTAAGCACGTAAGCATTGCACAACGAACACTCCATCATTATGCCACGAGCACTTTACCATTATTGAACGATCGCTCCATCATTACACCCCGAGCAGTTCACCATTACGACATGATCACTTCACCATTATGCAACGATCAATTCATCATTACGCAACGATCACTTCATCATTACGTAACGATTATTTCATCATTATGCCACGATCACTTCACCATTACGCCACTATCATTTTATCATTACGCCATGATCACTTCACTATTACGCCAGAATCACTTCATCATTACGCAGCAATCACTTCATCATTACGCCGCGATCACTTCACTATTACGCAACGATCACTTCATCATTACGCAACAATCACTTCATAATTACGCCACGATCACTTCGCCATTAAGCAACGAGCACTTCATCATTTCGCAACAAGCAGTTCGCCGTTAGGCAACTATCACTTCAACATTACACAACGATCACTTAACTATTAAGCAACAATCACGTCACCATTACGCTAAGAGTACTTCAACATTACGGAACGATTACTTCACAATTACCATAAGTCATCTTCGTTTTCTAATTAAAAACGAAATGTTTTCTGCCAGTGAAAGAGTTGAGTTATTTTTTGATAAGCTCCTTTTTTTTCAAGGTGTCTTGATATAAAATATCTTCTTTATATGCGTAATTGTGGTACATTTCTATTCAAAATAGTTTGCATTAAATTTTTTAACTCTTGGCTGAGCTAATTGGGTACTACACGATGGTACCATTTGGTGCTCGTTTCTCAATTAAACCCTAGCAGATATAGTCACAAAGAACCTCTGACACAACCCGATCTTTTTAAACTAATTACATTTTCCTGTAATTTACCCGTGTGCCCTAATATGCAAAGGTTACTAAGTAAAAATAAATAACAGAAGGGCCAAATCATACACAGCTATTTCTTATTGCTGCTTATTATCGTAGATTTTGTGCTCAGATAAAAGCGATGATTTCAAATGCTGATTTTCAAGGCAGTAAGTTTTTATTTTCCAGCAGAAGTTTTAACGCGACAGTCAATCAGATGTGTACCTTATTAAACCCAATTTAGAAAATATAATCTCTCTATATAAATTTGTTGCCTCTGTCTGTCTTCCATACGCATATATATATTCTGAAACTACATTACCCAAGGTACTTGGATAAATATATTTCATTTTGATCAAAAGAAGTCGCCAGAGGTACAAACCCCCACTATTTTTCCATTTTGATTAAATTAAATTTAAATTTAAACAATAGAATATAGAAGAAATCCAGAAGATGGAGCCCACATCGACAAGATCATTGAGTAACATTGAAATCCATCATTTTTCTCCATAAATTATAACAATGATTTAAAATCAATCATCATTTTCTTACAAAAAATGTGTGATTCGCAGCAAGGCGCTGATAATTCGGCTAGTGAATAAATAAAATAAATTGTGTCACTGTCAGAAAAAATAATTATCATTTTTTGTGTAGGTGTTTCATTTCATTGATGTAATTTCCCGAAACCTGAGAAGTAGAATTATTAGCGTTTCAAAATATAAAAGAATTAACCTGCGTTTTATGTAAGATATTTTTTTACAGTTGACAACATCATATTGTTGAATAAATCCTGTAGTCAAATCTCCCGCAGAAAATTGTAGTATCATAAGAATTAAAGAAAACAACACAATTTCTTCTGCAAAAAGATGATTACAAGCGCACACAAAGTTTCTTCCGAAAAAAGATGATTACAAGCGCACACAAAGATTTCATGGAACAGAACAGTGATGCAAAGCATTCACAGTTCGTTAGCGTCACTAATTAGCCGCTTCTCTGACTGCTTCAGCAACAGTGCAGAGGCTGTATGTCGTTTGAAACGCACGCACGAACGTCCTCTAAGTAGTAAAACAGCTCATTCTTTCAAACTTTGCCATAGTTTCATAATGAAGCCACGAGCAATTCTACCTATTGTAATGGTTAACAAACTCATCTTGTTAGTCACAACTAAGTAGTGAATACGATCCTCACTTGGCCCGCCATACTCCATCACACTAGATAAAAGAATCACTTAGGGAAAAAGGGTATTTCGACGTACTGTAATAATTAAGCTTGTCTTGGTTGATGAAACAGAAATGCAATGTAAGTGAATTGGGGGCTCAAAACGTACGGCCTTGTATCTAAGTACATCAAATTGCTATTATTAAGCCCCCCCCCCTTTATTACAAATCGCATCGATAAACAGATACCTTTACTTCGAGAGTTGGTATTTTCTACAAACAATTACAAGAATGACATTTTAGATAAGTCTTTCATTGAAACACCGACCATTTTTCTGGAAAAGAATGTTAATTAATATCCTTAAGAAAATGACAAACAGTGAAAGAAAAATATTGTGCATTTAAAAAGTGATAAAAATTGGATTTCCTTGTTTTCACGTACTGGCTTTTCTTATATTTCGGTGTTAGACTTATATATTTGCTAAGAACTTTTAGTGATAAATTATTTTCTTTTAATCGCATTAACATTTTAAAATCACCTAAACTTCCTTGTCTTCTTCATGTCACGACTTCACTTTCCTGCTGGCTTTGCAGACAAGCCATTGTGCCGATCTAATGCCGTTGCAGGTCATGAATTGAGAGTTTTTAACCAAGGCAAAAGAACAGCTATTTAACCCATTTCTGGGGAGAGAAGAAATGACTAAAATATTTTTCAAGGGCATTTGGGCGAAAGTGAATTTAACTACTACTAATCAGAAATTGAACTCAACACTTGCCGATACCTGCTTCGCTACCCGCTCATCATATGATAATTCTGCTTCTAAGTAATGGACAAAGAAGAACAGAAAAGACATATCAGAAAGGCTGTTTGGTTTCAGTGAGAAAAAGAAAGAAAGAGAGAAATAGAGATAAGCTAGAGAAAGCAATAATGCTCTTATGCATTTAACATCTGCTTCAATGAAAGGGAAAACTTTGTCATTTTCTAGTCCTTTCCTTTCTACCTTCTTCTGCATTGATATTGATGATTGGTATTGCAAAACTTGATTAAAGAGTTCGCTACATTCTTTTAATTATTACACATAATTATCAATCGTATATTTCTGTTGTCATCTCTAAAGCATGTGGACCCGATCATATCCCTGTAATAGTTACTAAGGCGTGTGCTTCAGAACTAGCTCCTGTTCTCTCTAACCTGTATAATAAACTAGCAGTAGAGCCCGGCGTTGCCCGGAGATGTAACAGTAAGAGATCGATCAAGTATCGACCATCATAAAGACTGAAAAATAAAATTGACAAAGATTATTGTTTAAGGTTGACAGACACGCATGTCTTAATTTTTTTTTTTTTTTTTTTTTACGAATTGGTCAAACTCAAACAAAAACATTGTTTTCAATCGTTATGAGTCTACCGATTGAATAGAATTTTATTATAAACAATTGTCTTGAAAATAGAATTTTTAAAGCATTTTGAATGTAAAAATAAAGAAAAAAGTGTGCAACACAATAAAAGACACTACCTGCCAAAAAATAAAAAAAAAAATAAAAGTGAAGTTTTGTTGAAATCGGTTGAAAAATGTAGGAAATCTGATCCCATATATAAACGAACACACACAAACACACACACAAACAACCTGGGTTTTATAAGTATAACTTGATATGAGTTGTCCCCATTTCATTCTCGCGATGCCTCTTAATTGTGTTTTCAAATTGATTTCGTGCAAAAACAATTGTTTTTCAATTTTTGGCGTTGTCAGAACCAACACAAGGTAATTTTACATAGTCCTGTGAAGTTTTGTTGAAATCGGTTGAAAAATATAGGAAATCTGATCCAATATATAAACGAACAGACACACACACACACACACACAACCTGGGTTTTATAATAAGTATGATGCCTCGCCGACTCCTGCTTTCCTACCTGCTGAAAGTCATCATCTGTTGTTCCAGTTTTCAAGAACTCTGGCGAGCCGTCCAACCCATCTTTGGGGGAAAATCCTAGAGGCCCTAATCAGTTCTGAACTGGTTCATCATATCTCATCGCTGGGCCTTTTCTCAGACAAGCAATATGGCTTTTGTTTCTCCAGGTCAACTGCTGATGTACTGATGATATTTGCGGAAAGAGTTTATCATGATCTCGACTAAAATGGCGAAGCTCGGCTGTTGCAATGGACATCTCGAAAGCCTTTGACAGGGTGTGGCATTCAGGCCATCCTCACAGAATTGAAAAATTACGGTGTCTCCGGACACTTTTGAACTGATCCAGTCTTTCCTGTCAGATTGTGAAATGAAAGTTATCCTGAACGGCCACTCGTCTGGATCTTTTCGTACTGAGGTTGATGTCCCCCAGGGCTTCATCCTTGGTCCTACACTAATTTTTAATTTTCATTAATGACCTTCCTAATGACATCAGCTCTGAACTTGGTATCTACGCTGATGACACAACAATCCCTACCTCGATATTAAGGCTTATCAGTCTGACAAGGTCAAAATGGCAGCCAAATATTCAAATCAACCTCAAGTCCGTAGTGAGACTGGGGTAAAAATGGCTCGTTAATTTTAAAACCTCAAAAAGTAGACTTCTCTCCATTAATCATCTGAGAGAACCCTCGTCGCCTTCCATCAGTATGGCTGATGCTAACCTCCAGCAAAGTGACTTGTTGCGCCTTCTCGGGTCCACGTTCTCTGCTCATATGAAGTGGAAAAGGTTATATTGACTCCATTGATAGGTCGGTTGCTAAGAAAGTAGGTTCACTATGTAGGGAGAGAATTTCTTTTTTATCCAGAATTTATCTTACATATCTATGAGTCTACAATTCGCCAATATGGTCAGCCCCACTTTACTATTTAACTTGAGCTCTTTGATAATATCCGAAGAAGAATCTGCAATATTATTGGTCCTGATCTAGCGGCTCAGTTCCAATCGATTTGCCACCGCCGTAAATTTGACTCGCTATGTCTTTTCTATAAATACTTTCATGATAATTGTTCTAATGAACTCTTCGTTATGGTACCTAGAGTTTTTGAATATAAGTGTAGCACTAGACTGGCGTCGAGATCGAATCAATTTACAGTTGAACTGGCTAAATTTAGACGTAAATTCTATGCTAATAGTTTCTTCTCGCACTTCTCGCTTGTAGAACTTCCTTTCGGCTTCATGCTTTCCAGCCAAATCTTCAAAAATTTAAATGCAATGTCAATCGCTATCTACTGTCCACCTGTTTATTCTCTTCTCATTCTGCTCATCATTAATTTTTCTGTACCTAATTCTTCCACATCTTCTGTTTTAGTGGCGTTACTGCCTTGCTTGGGGTGAATATGATTAAAAAATATATATATTTGAGGAGTGTTTCGTTCAACATCGATGTGGAGCTTAAAACGTTGCGTGATTAATTTTTCGAGTCAAAACCTAGTGATTTCTATCGTCATATGTATTTGCCTTGCGTGG